CCGAATCTGTTCCTGAACGGTTTAGGGTTTAGGGCTTAGGGTTTAGGCTTTAGGGGTGTAGGGTGTAGGGGTTTAGGGCTTAGGGTTTAGGGTTAAGGCTTTAGGGGTTTAGGGTTTAGGGGTTTAGAGTTTATGGGTTTAGGGTTTAGGGGTTTAGGGTTTAGGGGTTTAGGGTTTAGGGGTTTAGGGTTCAGGACGCAGCGTAGGAGTAAGGATCCATTGCATTTACCAGTCCGTTTTACTCGACGCAATCCGCCGCAGTTCAGGCTTTTTGCCTCTTCGCATGACAGTTACAACTGCTAAATCCTAACTCCTGAACCCTGCCCTAAACCCTAAGCCCTGACTAAGCTGGCACCAGGTGGAGCAAGAGATGGGAGCGGTGAAGTGGACGGTCACTTCCGGGCCGCCACACGGCTGAAGTCAGCGAACTGGGCGCTAAGTGGGTTTGGGGCTTTAAGACCCCCCCTGAACCTCTGAAGTTCAAAGTCTGAATACTATAGAGGCCTTAATAATTAGAATAGGGATTTGGGGCCCATTATACAATAAATATAACAAGGTAACCCCAAAAAAGTATAGGTAATTATTTAGGCCCCTACATTACGAAAAGAGAACATAAAAAGCCCTGGAAACCCGAGAAACAGCAAGAGCCGTAGAACCCTAAGCAGATGTTTGAGAAATCTGTCATAGATTGTAGACCCCCCCCCCCAAGACTCACTAATGGCGTACAACCCCGGTAAAGGAACCCAACCCCATAAATCCTATAGGAGTTCTATAGAGACCCTATAAAATCCCCAAAAAAACCCGACAAAGCCCTTGTACTTCCCGAAGCCAAGCAACGAACCCAAGGCCGATAGTTTCCCTCTACAGGAACCCCTCCAAGGCTGGGCAGGTCTCTAAAATTAGGGTCCCCTTTTAGGGGTTCCTTAAACGGATCTCAAGAGTTCCTACAAGGGTACTAGAAGGGGAATATATCTGGGTAGTTCTTTAGGGTTTAGGGTTCAGGGTTTAGGGTCTCGAAATTAGGGTCCCTTTTGGGGACCTTTTTGTAAGGGTGCCGTACTATGGCCTTAATGGTTGGAAGAGGGTTTTGGGGGGGCCATCATGCTATAATTAGAATACGGAGCCCCCAAAACAGTATTGGGAAGACATTTAGGCCCCGAGCTTAGTTCCCCGGAACCCTTCTAAAGCTACTCTTGAGAGGAAACCTTTAAAGCCTAAAACCCTGAAGTTCTAAACCCTAATCCCCAACCCCTAAACCCTTAAGCCCAACCCCTAAACCCCTAAGTTTTAAACCCTTAACCCTAAAGCTTTAAAGCCCTAAAGCCCTCACCCCTAAACCTTAAACCCCTAAGCCCTAACCCCGGCACTACAACCCTTAAGCCTTAAAGCCTCGCCGAAAAGAAAAGAGCGCCCAGCCCTAAACCGAAACAGTGAAATCCCAAAGCGGAAGGCCCCCGACCCCAAGGCCCCTGCACCCAAAACCCCTAGACCCTGAACCCCTAAACCCCCAAATTCCCTATAATCGTTAGAAGTATGGGGTCCTAATATGGACCCTTAGGCCTTCCTAGGGACCCTTACGGATACATATCGTAGGATTATAAGGATTCCAGGGTTAATGGCCCATGCTAGGGGCCCATGGTTTCAACCTTAGATAGAAACACTGAACCCCGAAACCTTGAAGCCCATGGAATGAAGGCCTGTCTCTGACCCTTAAGTTCTGAACCCTTATCCCCAAAGCTTTTAAGCCCTAAATCCTAAACCCTTAAGCCTCAAACCCTTAAGCTTTTAAACCCGAAATCCTTAAGCCTCAAACCCTTAAGCTTTTAAGCCCTTAAAGCCTTAAAGCCTCGCCAGAAAGAAAAGAAGCGCCCGAGGCCTGTCTCTGTCTTCGTGGAGGTGTCTTTGGAGCTGGCAGAGGCTCAAAAGAGAAGGGCCTTTTTAAGGGTTTTCATACAGGGGCCTAAAGATTTTAGGGCATTTTGGGCCTTTAGGGTTTAGGGTTTGGGTTTGGGCCTAAAGGTTCTAGGGCATTTCGGGCCTTTAGGGTTTAGGCATTTAGGGCTTAGGGCCTTTAAGGTTTATATAGGCCTGGGGGCCTAAAGGGTCTGTGCTGTAGGGCCTAAAGGGTTTAGGCATTTAGGGTTTCGGCTTTAGGGCCTAAAGGGTTTAGGGTTTAGGGCCTACAGGGTTCAAGCTTTAGGGCGTTCAGGGTTTTGGGTTTGGGGCCTTTAGGGTTTAGGGTTTAGGGTCTTTGGGGTCTAGACTTTAGGGTTCAGGGCTTAGAGCTTTTAGGGTTTTGGGCTTAAGACCTTGAGGGTTTAGGGCCTTCAGGGTTTAGGGTTTGGGAGTGTTTGTGTAGGGGCCGTACGAGTTCGACTTGGCTTCTTTCAAAGGGTTGCTAAAAGGGAGGCCGTCAGGGTTACAATGGGTGTTGTATAGAGGATCCATGGGTATATGGGGCTTAAGATCACGGCCTGAATGCTGAAGAAGGTTCTGTATGTGTAATAAGGGTAGTTCTCTAAATTAGGGTCCCGTTTTAGGTCCCCAGTATAGTACGGCACCCTTATAGAAAGGACCCTAAAAGGGACCCTAATTTAGAAAACTACCCATATATTACCGGGGGCGGTGGCGTTTTGTTCAGTTTAGGCTTTTGCGATTAGGTGGCTTTCGGTTTGGGTGGCTTGGTGGCTTTGGGTTTTGGTTTGGTTGAGCTGAGAGTTTAGGGTTTAGGGTTACCGAAGGGAACTGCAAGAATTGATGCATCAACAGCTTGTCACAACCCCATGCGACCCCATAAACACCCAATAAACTTCTGAGTTTCTTCACGAGGCCTTTTATTGCATCATTCAGAACGACATAGAGCCCTCTACTCCTGTACCCCGAAGCCCGGAAGCTTTAAACGTCAATGCATGTCCTTCTGGCAGACCCCTAAACAACAGGATCCTTGTCATAAGAAGGCCACTAAACAAAATACCCCAGTTCACTGGCGCCCCACCCTAAACCCCAAATCCTAAATCCGAAACCCTAAAACCCTAGATCCATTAAACCTTAAACCCCAAACCCTAAAACCCTAGACCCTTTAAACCCTAAAACCCTAGACCCTGTAAACCCTAAACCCTAAACCCTGGCCCCTGTAAGCCCATTAAACCAAAACCCACAGATCCCTGAGCCTCCCATCCTAAACCCCAAAGCCCTAGACCCTTTAAACCCCGTCACCACCCACAGATCCCTGTGCCTGGGAGGATGCCAACGTCTTCTTGCACTGGGGCTCCGCCCCGGGGGCGGGATGCGAATGGGAACCCATCAGCCCGGAGCCCTAAAAGAAAAGAAAGTAGGGTTGGAGGGTTTAGGGTTTTGGAGTTTTAGAGTATTTGGGGTTTTAGGGTTTAGGGCTTTCAGGGTTTAGGGTTTAGGGGTTTTGGTTTAGGGCTTTAGGGTTTGAGGGGCTTATAGGGTTAAGGGTTTACGGGTTTCTCATAAGGGATGGTTCAAGCGTTTGGGTTTTTTTCTCGGTGCTTTTCTCAAGGATTCTGTTAAAGGTGGAATCCCTGACCCTTGGGAAACCAAACAGCTACGGTATTGTAAGCCGATACCAAGGGGTTTGATTACAAGGGCGTTTTCAACTTAGGGGCTGAGTAGGTAACCTTTAACCTTTTGGGCCTTATATAATCCTATTATAACTCGAAAGGTTAACTTTTTTTGGGGCTAGGTACTCAGCCCCTAAGTCAAGGGTTCTAGTAGCCCTAAACCCTACCTGCAGCCGGAAAGACCTCCCCTTTCAGGGTCCCTTATTATGGTTTCTCTAAATCGTTCCTTATAAAAAGGTAGGTCTTTTCGGTTCCAGGTAAACCCTAAACCCTAAACCCTAAAACCCTATACCCTAAACCCTAAACCCTAAACTCAGTAAGGATTTAGGGTTCAGGGCTCCCGATTGTCAAAGTGCTCATCAGGATTTCTTCAAGGGCTTTGCGACTCCAAAGCTTCTCAGAGACTCCTTAGTATGATTTAAGGTATATGCCTTTATTAAGGGATATCAGGTTTTTTAGACGGGCTGGTCTCAAGAGTTCTTTTAAGGGTCGTATCCTGGAGCCCTGGGAGTAGAAATTGTCCCCAGACACTCCAATGAACTCCCCGAAGTAATGCATAGACTTAGACCATAAGCCTTAAGTCCTAAACCTTGAAAAGCAAGGAAGAGCCCTAAACCCGAAGCCCCAAGCTCTAAACTTTGAAAAGCCAGGAAGAGCCCTAAACCCGAAGCTTGTTCCGATGCTCCCAGTATGAGCTGAGCTATATGCCTTCAGGAAGGACTCGTGGGGTCGCCAGGGTTTAGGGTTTAGGGTTTTTAGGGTTTAGGGTTTAGGCCCTTTGAACGAACCCTAGGAACCCTTTCCAGGAACCCTTGAATTCTTACTACCCAGAGACTCCAATATCCCTTACTTAAGGAATATACCTTCAATCATTTTCAGGATCCTTCTACAATTTAAGGAATCTTCCTTAATTAAGGGGTATTGGAGTCTCTGAGTAAGCCTTTGAGGTGCTCTGCCCGCCAATGCCACGGCCTTCGACGAGATCGCCTCCCGCACGCCCGTTCAGGGCCAGGCCGGTCATCTGGTTCTAAAGACTTGGTCTAGGACATTTTCACGTGGGTAGTTACCGTTATAGGAGCCTTATAGAAGCTCTATATACCTTATAGAAGCCTTCTAGAAGCCCTTTTTGCCCTCAACTCCCCACCTGCAGTTTCCTGAAACTTGGGAGGTTTCGGGAACAGGGTTCCTACAAAAGTTCTATAGTTCTCTAGAACGTTTTAGTATACGGGGTAACTTAGGTACCGATTTGATGTAGTTCGGTAAAACCCGGATTGGTTTAATGTACCAACGCCTGAGCCCTAAAAAAAATATTCTGGTGGCGATTGAAATCGACATTTATTAGAAGGGCCACGCAGCATGCTATAACGGCTAGGAATTCGGGGTTCAGGGTGCAGGATACTCGAAACCCGAAACGCTTCCAAACATGAACTTTCGGGTGGGGTATCCCTGCTGTGTTAACACAAAACCCTAAACCCCTAAACCCTAAACTCAAAAAGAGGATAATAGGACTTCCCATAACCTTATGGGCTTTTGTTTCAGGTGCTGCCTCTGGGGATCCCTAAGCGACCAAATCAGCCAGCATCCCTTAATTAGGGAATGTACCCAACAATTAAAGCAGAATGAACCCCTAATATGATTTACGGTATATTCCTTAGTACAGGGACGTTGGAAGGTCCGGCGACACAATAATATCCCGAAGTGTTCCAAAATAGACCCTAAACCATAAACCCTAAACCCAAACCCTAAACCGTAAACCCCAAACCCTATTCCACTTCATAAGGCCCATGTCGTATCTTTGGTGTGGGCTTGAAGTGTGCGTTATCGCGGCTTTAAGAGGGTCTCGCAGGCCGAACCCTAAACCCTAAACCCTAACAACCCTAAAAACCCTAAACCCCGCGGGTCTTGAAATACACGGTGTCATGGATTGTTCAGGGTGCTCATAGGTCTGCGTGAGCCACACCGAGTCTGTCGGGAGGCTTCCATGAATAGGATTCCGAGTCTTTAGGGTTTAGGGCTTGTTGCGTTTAGGGTTTAGGGATTTTAGGGTTTAGCTCTTAGGATTTTACGGTTGAGGAGTTGGAGGACAGCTGGTTAGGGTTGCTTGAAGCAGGGCTTGAGGGGTGTATTGTTGCTCAATTCTGGTGTGCATAGGTTTTGGGGTCTCGGTGAGCTGGGATCGCGTGGGGTTCAGCGACCATGGGTTTCCAGGAGCTAAACTACGTGCCTGGTTAGGTGTTTTAGGGTGTAGTTGCTGTCCATCGAGTGCACAGGGCTTAGTTAGGTACGTATCAGGGCTTATAAGGTTTAGGGCTTCGGTCATTTTGCGTGTAGAGGGCATTAGGCGCTTCACAAAGGTTTTTTGGAATTGGCGGAGCAGCGAGGGCAGGGGCTGGTGCTCACTACTGTAGGGCCTTGGTTAATAGACCCCCTTCCCGTAGTAAGATGTTTCTAAGGATCCTACTGTTATAATGTTCAGAGTTTATGGAACCGAGTGAAGCTTTGGAGTAAATGGCTCCCCGGGGAAGAGCCCGAAAGGAGAAACACTCAAGGAAGTGTTGGAGCAGCTTTGGGAAAGCCAAAAGGAGCTTACAAAGCAGAAGTCCGTGAACAGCAGCCTGTGCCAAAGGCTTGGGACTTCGAGTGAAGAAGCTCGAAGCAGATCTGAACGCAGCTGTTTCCAAGAATGCCGTTACGGAGAGCGAGGCTACTTCTGAAAGTATCTGCCTCGACACTCCAGCTTGTGTCGCCCTACACCCTCAAACCCCAAAGCCCCAAAGCCAGAAACCCTAAACCTAGACTTTGCTCGGCTTCGGATCCATCAACCCTAAGCCTAACGGACCACCAGCCTTCCGGATTGTGTTCTTGGTAGAACCCGATCCAGTCAACCCTGAACCCTAAACCCGAAGGTCCTAAACTTCTGGAGGTTTGGGGACCCGAAACCCTCAACCTTTGCAACCTACTTACCAAGTCCGTTGATCTCTAAAACCCTACAGAGCCCGAAAAAACACACCCCTAATCCCTAAACCTATAAACCAAACCCTGAACCCTACTTGGTTGAGCTTTACGGTCACTTTATAGCTGTATCACTTTTAGGATTAGCCGTTTTTGATATTAGGGGTACTAAAAGTTATCATTTTAGCAAGGTAATAAAGAGCAACCCAGAAGCCACGAGGCACGTGCCACGTTGATCTTCCTAAACCCTAAACCCTAAACCCTAAACCCTAAACCCTAAACCCTAAACGAGGCACGTGCCACGTTGATCTTCCCCAAGAATCCTCCACGGTGGGTCTCCTTTGTCTTGTCCGAGCCCTGGTGGGGCTCAGGGGGTTTCGGGGCGTTGGGGCCTGGTGGTCAGGTTGGCTGTAGTTTAGGGTTTAGGGTTTAGGGTTTAGGGTTTAGGTGTAGTTAGAATAGGGTTTTGGGATACATTATTCTATAACTATAATAAGGAACCCCCAAAATAGACTCCAAAATAGTATTGGTAGCTGTTTAGGCCCCTATATTATGCCCTAAACCCTGAACCCCTAAACCCTAAACCCCTAAACCGTTATGGGCTTTTGGGGGGGGTGTAGGGAGTCTTTACGGGTTTGGGCTCCCAGGGCTTCGGGGATGCCAGCGCTTTTAGCTATAGGTTTAGACTTCAGGGTTTCGGGTGTAGGGGTTTAAGGTTTCGGGTTTCGGGGTTTAGGGGTTTAGGGTTTTAGGATTTAGGGTTTCGGGTTTTAGGGTTTAGGGTTTCGGGTTTAGACTTCAGGGTTTCGGACCTTAGCGAAGTTCACTTTGGGGTTTTAGGGGTTTTGGTTCGGGCGATGTATCAGGGTCTAGCAGGCAAGATGTGTCTGGGCCTCCCCACAACGTGGCCTTCAAACTGCAAAAGACACCGATTCCAAACATTGCTGTCGCGACCTTCTCCATTTGTTCAAGTCTTCCGTCTGTCCAGCTGCCGTGACGGTGGACTCCACTACTGGATCTCGCCAACGTCGCCTTCAAGGATGCATGTGCGGGCATTGAAATCACCACCCGGCACATCCTCCAGAAACTCGGGCTGTCCGACAGTGTCGGGATGGCACAAAGCGCGGCTTGAGGCAAAGGTCACAAAATGCCTCCACCAGGATTAGAATAGGCGTCCCTTTATAGACAACCCGACCCTACACCCCTTCCGTGAGAAGCCGCTTAAAGGGCTTAGGGTTGAAAGGTTTCCGCTCCAGGGTTCAAAGAGCTTCAAGTGGCTAGGGGTCTAGAGCTTCAATCAAACTGTTTAGGAATGAAAGGATGAAGGGTATTGGTTTTGAATGTGTTCGGGCTTGAAGGTTGTAGTGTTGCACGTGTTTAGGGGTTCAAGGGTTTGGGGTGTATAGGTGTTGCGGGCATCCCTGCAAGCCCCGCGCAGAGAACGCAAGATCCTTCGATTCTAAGGGCTCTAATGTATTTCTCTAAATTCGGGTCCCTTTTAAGTCCCAAGAAAAAGTACGACACCTCGATAAAAGGGCCCTGAAAAGAACCTAACTTAGAAAATTACTTACCCTTTTTAGGATGGTAGACAAGGTTTTCAAAAGCTCAATGACCCAACTAGGAAGCTCGTTGGTTCCCTATGCAGCAACCTGAACCCCCCTCTCCCGAAATCTCAGCGGGACCCCGCAAAAACAAACAAGAAGCAAAAAAAAAAACATCAAGCTATGCTCTGTGCGTGATTTCGCGTTTGGGGTTTAGGGTTTACCCCTAATCGTCCCTTCCCCCTTCAATCTAGGACATTTTCAGGTG